CAGCAGGAACTGTTGGCACAGCTTCAGCTCAGTGGGGAAGCTGCTCACCTAGCAGGCAGTCAGGACTCCCAGACAGTGACCAGAAGGGACAGACGTTCAAAAAACCTGGGCCTGAATTGATTCAACCTTTGCAGGTTAGTCTAACCTGCCTAGATTGGATCAGTTTGCAACTGTACAGACATTCCCTCTGGACTAAGGAAATGCAGGTACATGCCTGCAGTGGCTCAGGCTAAAAGCCAGGGGGCTGGAGCAGCCCTTTCCTTCTGTAGTGCTGAGCTGAGTGGGTGTGTGGCCAGGCCCCTGAAGGACCTCTGATTAGCAAGGGTTTTAAACCCCCACTCTGCATGTAGCATCCCAGGTTTTTCCCTGCTCACTGCTAAAGGGGTGGGAGTATTGCCAGCCCCAAGGTAGTACTGTGAGGCAAAACAAGGGTGCGCAGTGCATGTATCTGTTGATGATACTGAGCTTTTCAGTCTCCCTCTCCCTGCTTCTTCATACTGTCTGCAAACCTGGCAGGCAAGGGAGCTAGCAGGTGGCTGATAACATGGAGTTTATCAGCCCATCAGCAAAACAAAAGCACCTCTCATTAGTTCAAGTTCTTCTTAAACAGCTTTTTCCAAGGAAAGGACAGAGGGACATTACCATCTGACCTGTTGATTAGCTCCAAAAAGCCCTAAGCAGACACTGTTCTGTCTGCCTGTCCCAGTGAAATTAGAGACACACACAGGCACATCTCACCATTAGCTAGCATACTACATGCCTAAGGTCTGTGGGCCTGAGGTCATGCTGTGGAAGATGAGCAGGAGGGAGGTGGGGATCCTTGCTTGAGCAGTGAGGGGGTGGGGGGCAGGGGGAAGCAAGGCAGACTCTGTCAGAGCCCTGGCTAGGGACCACAGGGGCGGAGCCAATCCTGTTCTCTGGAGCAGAGAGCCCTGCCCAGGGCTGCAAAGCATCTGGGATGCTGAGGGACTCTGGTTTAATTTAAGTCAGCAAGGGGTCTGGGACAGACATTGCATAAACTGGTTTGACCCAAACCAGTTAAGTCAGATACTACATTCAACCAGGTTTAGCTTAAACCAGTTTCAGCCATTTTGAAACTGGTTTATGTGCACTGAAGTTGTGTTCTGTTGCAGGTTTAAACCAGTTGCTGATCACTTAAACTGGATTATGTGTAACGTGTATCCCTAGCCCTGAAGTCATTAGCTGGGTTACAGCTACAAAACCCCACGTGGGTGTGGCCCATTAGACAGTTAGCCTAGGCTGGGTGGCCTGTTGGAGTCTCTGACCATTGCATTGTTGCCTTATGTTTATTCCCCAAATAGGGGAGTGTCAAAGATAGTAAAGCGCTGGAACAGGTTACCCAGAGAGGTTGTGAAATCTCCGTCGTTGGAGGTTTTTAAGACCTGGCTAGATAAAGCCTTGGCTGGGATGATCTAGTTGAGTATATAGTTTGAGCAGTGAGTTTAAGTAGATGATCTCCTGAGGTCCCTTCCAACCCTAATTTTCTATGATTCTGTATAGCCCCTGGCTGGGTCCTGCCACATGCGGCATACACTGGCCCTAGCCCTATGCGCTGTATTTAGTGCACAGAGCCTACCTGTCTGGGGTTTGACACCCCTGCCCTAAGTGAAATCCTAACCCGGGTTTGACATTTAGTTGCTGTGTAGACGATGCTACAAGAATTATAGCTGCAAGTCAGGAATAAATAGCAGAAGCAGTTTAATTAAAAAAATTAAAATAGATGTTAGGAGGTGAGAGTAAAATGAAGAGACCATATACTATATATAGAAATGGTAATTGCTAAATAGAAAGTTAATATATTTATTTTAATCATCCATTAATTTCATTCAATCAATTTAAATGTATTTAAGAGGATTACTTCACTAGATGAGACAGTAGTGACAATGTTAATCATAAGATCAGCTTTTTGAAGCTAAATGTCTAGTGAAGTTAGTTGAGAGGGGTTTTTTGTTTGTTTTTCATTTCTCTTCCATTCTTTCCTTCACTTAGTAGCTTAGATCCTACTTCTATAACTTTAGAAAGGAAAATTGCACAAAAATGAGGAAGTTGGAAAGAACTTAAAAGGAACTTTGAAAAACTTAAAAGGCTTGCAGAGAACATGGAAGCTGTTTTAAAATACCATTTTAGAGGCTCGGCAAAGTGTATGCGAGTGTATGCAAATCAAAAGAAGTATTGAATGGGTCCAATAAAACCCCTACATCAGGGGTGGGCAATTCTTTCGGGTGGAGGGCCACTTAATAAGTTTTTACGAGCTGTTGGGGGCCGCATAGGTAGCCCTTCCCCTTGACACTTGCCCCGCCCCCTGGTCGCCACATTGGGACCAGAAACCATGCTCCCTAACCCCTGACTTTTGCCACTGGAAGTCCCTCTCCTTGCCTTCCCCCCCTGCCCCAAATACTCCTTTTGGGAGGGGGGATTGCCATCTTAGAACCAGAGAAAAACCAAATTGTACACTAGAAGTCAAACACCTACTATAATATTCTAATTTTATTACAAAAAATGTTTGTCATGACTTGTGATTGTGTATTGTATATAGAAGGGATTGCATAATTAAAAAATAAAGTGTCACTCTTTTATATTCACAGATTCACAGCAGTGTGTGTGTATGATGGGGTGTGGGAGTATTTGGGGGGTTGTAACAGTGTGTGGCTGTGTAGGGGGCATAGGGAATGTTGGGGTGTATGTATATGTTGATAGGGGCTGTGAGGGTAGGCTGTGGGTATGTGGGGTGTTAGGGAGGGTGGGGGGTGTAGGGATCCCCTGCACACTTCCCCCAAATGGCATGCAGCCACTGCTGCCTGGCAGCAGCAGCAGACAGGAAGGTCAGGGTGTGGCTCCGGCCAGTACTGCGCATCAGAGGGAGTGGAGCCTGTCCTTTCGCTGGGGCTGCACACCACACTCCAGCACTTGCAGTAGAGGAAGCCCCACTCTGGAGCCTGCTGCTTCCCCCATTCCCTGTTGCACAGGTCCCTGCACTCTGCTGGGAGTGGAAGGAGCCCTGCCCCCTGCTTCCCAATGGAGCCCAGTACAGGGCTTCCCAGCTGCAAGTGTGGAGCTGCAGGCGTGTGATGCAGAGCCCCTGCAATAGAAACAGCCAGCACTGCACTAGGGGTAAGGAGTGCCCCCAATGCAGCCTGACTGGCTGCTTCTGTCGCAGGGGCTTTGCACTTGCAGTGGGGAAGCCCCATGCTGGGCTCCATGAGGAAGCAGGGTTGGGGCTCCCTCCACTCCCAGCAGAGTGCAAGGACCCGTGCAGCAGGGAGCAGGAGAAGCAGCAGGCTCCAGGATGGGGCTTCCCCTGCTACGAGTGCTGGAACTTCAGGTGCACAGCGCGAAGCCCTGGCAATAGGGCAGGCTCTGCTTCCTCCCCCTCCAGTGCAGCGCTGGCCAGAGCTGCACCCCTCCGAGTGCCTGTGCCAGGCACAAGCAGCCTGACCTCCCTGCCTGCTGGTGCTGCCAGGCAGTGGGGGCTGCATGCCATGGCGGGAGTGTGTGGGGGCGTTCCTATACCCACACCCTGCCCAGATGAGCTCCCCTCTGGGCGCAGGCTCTGCATTGTGGTTCCACTTCCACCCAGCTGCAACTTCACACCCCCCCCCACACCCCCAGCCCTGCCATTTCCCTACCTGCTGCCCTGAGTGAGCAGTTCCTGGCTGCAGCATGAGCCCTGCCCAGAAGCTGCTAGCTGGGCAGAGCCCTTTCACTCATGAGGGTGGGAGTGAGGCCCAATAGGATATGTTGGGGGGTTGTGCACATGAGCACCTTGCTCCCATCCTCATGGGTGGAAAGGCTGGGCAGGCTGCAGTTCACTGGGGGACACTACAAGCTGGATGAAAGTGCCTGCTTGGCTCGATTATAGCCCGCAGGCTGGATTTTGCTCACCCTTGCCCTACATTGTTTAATAGTAGAGTTAAGGAGACTGTGCAAGGCAAAAAAGATATCCTTCAAAAAAATGAAAGGGGTGCCCAAATGAGGAAAACTGGAAAAGCTTATAAATTCTGGCAGGTCAAATGTAAAAGTGAAATAAGACAGGCCAAAAAAGAGTTTGAGGAGCATCTAGCAAAAGATGCTGGAGTTGATTGTAGACTTTTTTTAAAATACAGCAGAAGCAGGAAGCTAGCAAGAAAATCAGTGAAGCTACTAGATGACCAAATTGTTAAAGGTGCATTCAGGGGTGACAAGACTAGCAGAGAAGCTAAATGGATGCAAAAAAAATCATTTTTAATGCACAAGGTTCTGCGAAAATTCCCACACCAAATCAGTCTTTCCTAGTGGTAAGTCTGAAGAGTTGGATCATGTTGAAATGACAACAGAAGAGGTTATAGAACAGATGGATAAACTGAATATTAACAAGTCACCAGAATCAGATGGCATTCACCCAGCAGTTCTGAAAGAACTCATAGGTGAAATTACAGAGCTATTGGCAATAGTATGTAACATCATTACAAACAATCTCTGTATCAGAGGCCTGGCAGGTTGCCAATATAACCCCCATCTTTAAAAAGGGTCCAGATGTGATCCTGGGAACTATATACCAGTGAGTCTGATTTCCATCCCTGGCAAGTTGGTAGAATCTATAATAAAAAATAAAATTGCAGTCATGTGGGAAAACTGGGGAAGAGTTACCATGGTTTCTGTAAAGGGAAATCCTGCCTCATCAATATCCTGAAGTTCTCTGAGGGTGTTAACAAGGATGTGTACAAAGGGACACCAATTGACATAAACTTTTTGAAAATCCAAATACGTTTTCAAGTTTTTTTTAAAAAGCTTTAAAATTGTGTTGCTATGAGATATAAGGTTTTTTCATGGACTGAAAGATAGGAAGCAAAAGGTAGGGCTAAATGGTCCCTTTTCAGGATGGAGAGAGGTCAAAAGTGGAGCCCCGCTGTGCTGGGCCTGGTTTTGTTCAGTATTTTCATTGCTGACTTGAAATGAGGATGCACAGTGAAATCTCCAAGTTTACAGATAATACTAAATTACTCCCGGTAATTAAATCCCAAGTCTTTGGAGAGGAGCTGTAGAAAGATCTCACTAAGCTCAGTGGCAGAAGCTTGGCAAATGAACTACATTGTCAACAAGAGAAAGATAACCTCAGTTACACATATACAGTGCTGGGTTCTGAAATAGGTGTTACAACTGAGGAAAGAGATCTTGGAGTCATAATAGCTAGTTCTCCAAAAACATCAGCTGTGTGTGCAGTGGACCCCAAAAAAGCCAGCAAAATGATGGGCATTATTAAGAAGGGCATTGAAAACAAACCATCATGACACTATATAAATCCTTTGCGCGTTTAAAACTAACATGGAAAAGTAGTGTTTTTTTTCAGCTTTTAATTAATTTGTGGAACCTATTACCTTTGGAAGTGGTAGAGGCAGATAGTCTAGCCAGGCTCAAAAAGGGACTAGAAAAATTCATGGGCTGGGCTGGCCTTTGGGTTAGCTCTGGGCTGTGGGTCTGGTCTGTGTATCTGATCCGGCCTGCAGACTGGCCCTGCAGCCCCATCCAGTTCATGAAGCTGGATGAGTTTGGCACCCCTCCTCCAAAGCATCCATTCCCACCACTGTCACAAACAAAATATTGAGCTAGATGGACTATTGATCTGACCTACTATGGCACTTATTATGCTCTTATATTTTGTGTCTATAGTAATGAAATAAAAAGAGTGGATTACATATGTAGAATATATAAAATGTTTAAATCTAAATACAATGTTTTCCTTGCATGTAATTTCATCCTTTGACACTTCCATAGAACAGTATTGATGGAAACTGAAAATAGCCTTCCCGTTCTAGAAAGATTCACAAATTTGCATGTGCTGTCTAGCTAGGTTTGGCCATCTTATCATCATACTTTAAACGGCGTAATTTACATTAATCAAATCAAATTATATTGCAAAAAGAAAGTGCCAGTTTCAGGTAGACTTACTGTTAAATTTACTTTTGTTTAGCTTTTCTGTGTATAGTGAGAACTCTTCATCTGTAAATTATTTTAAGGAACATTATTTCTGGATTATATATTCCTTATAGTATTTACTCTCTCAACATTCTCACACAGTACTAATATATAATAACAGGATAGTGAAATTGAGTAAAAACTCAAGCGAATTACTATATTTTTCTGTCTTTTAAAGGAAAAAGGTTAAAAACTAAATTAGATTTTTCAAATCATGTGTTATATTCCTATCTGAAGTGTTTTAGCAAGACATGTAAGAGAGGGTTTTTTTTTTCCTTTAAAAGATATTTTTTACATCTACTTGCATCTTTTTGTAAAGTCTAGCTCTGTACAAGTAATTTGTAGCAGGAAATTTTCAGTTAACTTTTTGGAGAAATTTTCTGCTAGTAATGCTAACAGAGAAGGATATGAAGTAAATAAAAAAATGTAACCGACTCAGAGATTGATTAGAGAAGAAAAGAGATTTGAGAGACCAACTAGAAGGATGAGACAATGGTGAGACACCTGGAAATACTTGTTTTCATGTGGTGTGTTTCTGTTTAATTTACAGGACCTAGAGTATTGTCTTGATCCTAAGACAAAGGAACTACCCCCCCTGCGAAACCCTGACATACTTGTTGGTGAAAATGATCTCACAGCTCTCAGTTATCTCCATGAACCTGCAGTTCTGCACAACCTCAAAGTTCGTTTTATTGACTCAAAACTTATTTATACGTATTGCGGTAAGTACATTCATTGCAAACAACGAAAATCTACTGAAAGGGCCATGGGTAAGGAAATGGAAGGTATTGATATGTCACCATGAGCATAAATCAAGTTAGATCTTTCCATTATTTCTAAGGCATTTGGGAATCTTATAATAAGAGGCCCTTCTTTGAGTATTAACAACACCAAAAAGTATTATTAAAAACATAAGGTTCAGAGTAAACCTATTTGACATTTCTGTCCCTTTGATTCCCAAAGAGCTCTGTTTAAGATGTACTAGCAAATTGCCCATCAAGAACGATTGATGGATGGGCCGGCATGGATGGAGCCCAGCCTTCGGCCCTGCGCCCCCGCTCCTTGGTGTCCTCATTTGGCCCCGTTCCTCCCCCCCTGGCTGGCACGGCGGGCCTAACCCCATTCCTCCACCCCCCTTCCAGCGTAGCAGGCCTGAGCCTGTTTCCCTCCCTGCACCAGCGCAGCGGGCCCAACCACGTTTCCGCCCCCACTACTGTGGGTGTCCTGACCCCGTTCCTCCCCCCTACAAGTGTGGCAGGCCTGATAGTGTTGACCTCTCCTCCGTCCCCTGTTTCCACCAGCATGGTGGCACTCCACCGCACTGCCACTGCCTCCTGTCTGGAACGCTCTTGGAGCACTCTGGCTGCCGAGACAACCAATCAGAGTACAAATAAAGCACTAAGGACAGACAGACAGACTAAGGCTTTTATGGTTAGCACTAGCCAATTGCCCGTCAACACTGACGGGCGGGAGGTGTGGGTGGAGACGGGGGGCCTGTATCTGGCTCTCCCCCTGCACCTTCAGTGCCAGGCCTGCTCCGTCTTTCCCCCACTCCGCCACAGGGCCAGGCCTGCCCCTCCTCCCACCTCCCCACCACCATTTTGAGGCTGAGCACACCACCTTCCCTGCTGCCATTTCAGGGCCAGGCTGCTCCCCTCCACCCTCTGTTTTGGGGCCAGGCCAGGCCCGAGGTGCCCCCCACCTCCTCCCAGCTACCGTTTCATGGCCAGGCCCACTGCTCCCATCCCTCCACCCTTCCCGCCCACATTGGCCTGCACCCACTGCTTCCCAAGCCCTACCACCATGGTGGCCTGGCTTCTCCTTCCCCTCAGGCCTGCTTCTCTCCTCCCCGCCACTGCTCTCCCCCCCCTCCCCCACCGCATAAGGAGAGAGAGGGGGCTGAGGTCAGCAGCTATGCCCTTGGCCTTCCCCCCCACTTCCGTATTCACCACCTGCAGGGGGGGGCGGGGGAGAGGGGTCATGGCCAATGCTGTATCTCGACCCCTCTCCCCTCCACATTGCCATTGCTGCCTCCACGGAGCAGGGCAGGGGGTTGAGTCCAGTTGTGCTGGCCTTGCCCCCCCATCCTCTGTGTCCTTATAGTCATGGCGGTGGTCCACCGTGCTGCCACCTCTTGTCCAAACGCTGTATTCGCACTCTGATTGGTTGTTTCCGTCAGCCAATCAGAGTGTGAATAAAGCATTATGGACAGACAGACCAAGGCTTTTATAATATTAGAATTCTGACCTGGCTGTCATTGGGATTTGTCATTGATCACTGGTTCCCTAGCCATTCTTAGCTAGAGAGAAGAATGTCGCCAAGTCTCTGGGAATGCAGAAACCTAATCTGATAAGGATAACACTTTTTGGTCTTCTAGACTAATTCTTTACAAGCTGTGTATTTGTGCTTGCATTGAAGCAATTTCCTTTCCATTTTCTTGTCTTTCTAGGGTTTCCATTCACTGGAATAGTAGGACTGAGGTTGTAATAGCATTTGTGCCAGGGTTTGTCTGTTCATAGTCTGTTAGTGGTAGAAAGATATTAACAGTGCAGTGCGGATCTGTGATCCTGCAACACCCAAAAGCAAAACTGGCCATAATTTTTCCAGTCAGTCAAAACTGGAAGAATTTGCTATAGCAGTGATGACTTCATTGTAACTGCAAAATTTAGCTGAGTAATAAACTTTAAGAAAACATTGGATTCTAAATTTGTGTGTCATGCAGGAAGGCTTGTTTATTTGCCTGCTTGTTTTTTTAAATCTTGTTAATTATTAGAAACATGCTGCTAACTTTTAGCATAACATTTCAGTGCAAACAATTCTATATTCCTTTTAAATGCTTTCCTGGATTGTGGTATTTCACATCTCATGCTAGTGCAGGGGTGGCCAACCTGAGGCATGTGTGCCATTAGCAGCACAGGAAGCTTCCATGCATGGCATGCAGCAGATATTGGGAGGGGCATACAGTGGCAGATAGAGCAGCAGATTGGGTAGGGACACCAGGCAGAAGCAAGAAGCAGAAAGCAGAGCAGCTGATCAGGCAGGGGAGGAGGATCAGTGACACCCAGTGAATGTATGGAGTTAATTTGTAGTGTGACTGCCAAAAAGGTTGGCCCCTACTGTGCCAGTGCATGAGAAACAGTTTAACTGACCTGTGTGTTTCGTTTACTGACCAGGCTGAGCTGACTATAAAATGTAAGGCTGTGGACAGATACTTCTTTATACAAAATAAAAATATCTTTTAATTTAAAATTTAAAAAAAGCCTGATAAGTCAATAGCAAACTGAGAGAAGAGGTAATTTGCAGTTCTGCTTTGTTCTTTGTTATTTCTTTAAATCTTTATTTCTGCACACACAAATTATGAAGATTTGAAGGGAAAAGTGGATTGCTTACACTAACAACTTTCTGGTAGTTGTGTCAAAGTATAGTGAAAGCTTTTGCTTTTCTATCTGATAAAAAAAAAAAATGGTGACTGATGTTTCTTTTACAACAAGTCTAAAGTTAGATGAATATTTCGCTGTCCATAAATTGTTGATCCTTCCCCCCCTTTCTAAAATTAAATCATAGGGGCCTTTTTTTTTTTTTTTTTAGTATGTATAGGAAGGATCATAATAATAGCAAATAAGGAGCTTAATTCAGTATAATAAAAAGAGAGAGCAAGACAGAAATACATAAATTTTGGAATGGTACTGATATTTATTAAGGAAAAAAATCTAATGTAGTTTAAGAAATTAAACCAAAAATGTTCAACAGAAATTATTTTTAAACTGGCAACATATAATATTAAATTATATTCCTGCTATGGTATTTTATAAATGAGTTTAAGCACTGTACAGAAATGGTATAATTCTTTTGTAACTTCTGAGATGTATCCTTGATGAATATTATTTGTTTTAAAAACCTGTATTGAAGTAAACTAATGTAGTGTACCAGGTTCTTGTCATGTGAATGTTTGCTTTCACTTCCTGAGATCATTTTTGTCAGCAGAGCCTAAAAGGGAAGGACATGCCTTGAAGTTTGTACAAATATTTGGATAGTGCGTGTGTGGCTGGATCTGCCAGTCTAGGTGGCTTAATGAAATTAGGCACCAACATCACATTGATCAGTGCCAAATGCTTTCTTTACTCTTAGGGCTTCTTTACACAAGGAAATTAAGCATTTCTTAGGGTGATATCTTTTATTAGACCAACTGTATAGTTGGGACAGAGTTAGACAAACTTTCAAACACAAGACATTTTTCATCAGGTCTCAGAGCTACAACATCGCTCTTATGCTTTCAGAGAAATTAAAGCAGAACAAGATAGTGTCTGAGCTTTACAACCTAGCTATCTGCTTTAACTTCCACAGACTCTACATTAAGAGCACCTTTATGTGTTTGCCTTGGTAGTAAGCTCCACTACAGAGAGGCACTCTCATTACAAATCAGGAGTATATTACAATCCCAGGCGGTGCTATACTCACTCCCACTCTAACTTGTGGAAGCAGTGTAGCAACCTTAGTGCAGTGCTGCATGTATGCCAGTAAATTCTGTGGCTACGCTACTTCACAGTCTGGAAGTCATGCATGTGGTGCATCTCAGGGCGTTGTCTGGCACTGTAATTGATCCACAGAAATATGCCCCTAAGAATGTCCACAGGGAGAGTTTAGAGCAGAGTAGCTTTGTACTGTACATGTACATCCTGCTTTATTCTGAAATACTACCCTGTAGCAAGCCCTGAGTTATCTAAGTGAAGTCTGAAACTAAGGAGAAAAGGCATCTAGTATACTCCAGGTCGCAAAGAATTATTCTTGTTTGTTCCTGAACTTTAATCACATTTCTTACAATGAAAACTCTAAATGCATGGCTTGAAAGGACTTTAATTTGGGCAACTTAAATGAAATCCAGTATGGTGTTACAGATTTCTTGATTGTAGTATACATCAATAATCAATTAAATGTTTAAGATGTATGCCAGATCTGTGCCATTGCAACACCATGTAGAGAGAAATGGGGGATTATTGGCTTTTCTTGTATCATAAAATCATAGAAGTAGGGTCGGAAGGGACCTTGTAGATCTTCAAGTCCGACCCCCTGCCTGGGCAGGAGGAAAACTGGGCTCAAATGACCGCTACATTGACTGCTTCAGGGAAAGAACGAACAATGAAATAATCAGCAACACACACCACCACAGCAACCTCTCTCTACCAGAGTAAAAGGTGATAGAATCTCTAAGATCCAACCACCAAATAGTAATAAAACCAGCAGATAAAAGAGGAGCCATAGTCATCCTAAACCGTGAGGATTACATAAAGGAAGCCAAGAGACAGCTCTCTGACACCACCTACTACAAAGAACTACAAGAAGATCCTACTCCCCTTTTCACCAAAAAACTCAACAATACCATCAAATCATTTCCATCAAGACTACAAGAAAAACTACAGACCTTGATCCCCCCGCTACCTAACCCAGGGACTTTTTACATGCTCCCTAAAATCCACAAACAAGGGAACCCTGGCAGACCTATCATATCCAACCATGGGACCCTAACTGAGGAAATATCAGGTTTTGTTGAATCCATCCTAAAACCGCTTGTCACCCACAGAGCAAGTTTTGTCCAAGACACCACAGACTTGCTACGGAAACTTAAAAACATAGACCCCCTCCCCAGCAACACACTCCTAGCCACCATGGACTAGTGGACTCCAAGATGAACGTGAGTCGGCAGCGTGACGAAGCCATCAAAAAAGCCAATGGCACTTTATCGTGCATCAGCAGATGCATGACGAACAGGTCCAAGGAGGTGATACTTCCCCTCTATCGGGCGCTGGACAGACCGCAGTTGGAGTACTGCATGCAATTCTGGGCGCCGCACTTCAAGAGGGATGCGGATAACCTGGAGAGGGTCCAGAGAAGGGCCACTCGTATG